GAATTTATGACACTGACTTTTTGATTATTATGGCAAAGCAGTTAGATTTTTGACGGGTTTGAATTGATCACCTAACCTCAAGAGATCTCCTTTTTCCATTTTTATCTGTGCAGTCACAACTTATTAGAAAGTAAGCAAGGTGTTATTAGAAAGCGCATTTGCTTTTCCCAGCACAATTGAAGCCATGCAAGAATATAATGAAAGGAAAAAAGTTGAGATTGTCTGAAAACGGTGCGACAGAATTCTCAGTCCAGCTTGATATGAAATTTGACCTGGTAAAAAACACCTAAAGAATTGGGGAATAAAATTTATTCAAATAAAAGCTCTGCTAGCCTGCGACTTACAAGCAATTTATAGAATTCTTTGGCCTTTCCTTTCCGTACCCTTTAATCATGTGGCCGCTGACTGCTTATCTAAGAGAGCACAAGTCAAAAGCAAAATGTAGCAAAGGGAAATGTTTTTCGATGCGTCCGCATGACACTGCGTTCCATCACAGGAGCCGGCACCGTCAACATCGTGGGGATGCCATCTACACGTGCGATGCGAACGTTCTCCGAGGCCACAATTTAGCACATGCCAACATTCGGAATAATCTGGCCTCTATAAATAGCGACAAAATATCGATATAATTTCCGTTTAAAGCCAGTATCGATACACTATCATGGTTCTGTCAGGGTAATAAATGGAAAAAGAAGGAAAAGGTGCTGCGATAATGTAAAAACGATCAGAAAAACGAACATTTTTGCAAAGAACGAGTCTTCGCTCTCCCGAGCAGACGTTGGCTACATTTGCAAGATAGGAAGCAACAAAACGCTGAGCATCGATCAATCTACTCAATTGCAAAACGATCTCAAGTACAAGGAACGAGACAGGGCATTGATTGGACTAAAATTGCAGGAACATACGATCCCGTAGCAGTTTTGCTAATTATCCGAGCAAGAAAACGGGGATTTAGGCACTTTTGTATAGCTTGCGCGCGGTGCTCATTGTTCGCGTGCGATGTAGCCAAATAGGACAAGTTACCATAGTCAGCGGAGACGTATAGTGGTTAAAGTGTTTAATAAATCTGTGTCAACACTTATTGACGTGTTGGATATTGTAGATGTACAAAGGTGAGCTTACAAGCTGCTTGCGCGGGCAACTCATTCGGATCTCCGCCCTGCTTCCCCTGCTCGAAGCCTGACCAATCAGAGGCGATCTACTGACCAATCACAGTAGCGACGCATGGCGAGCAATCATAAGAACAAAACAAAATTGAAAACAAAGCTCTTTCTCTTGAAGCGTCTTCACAAGAGGGGTTTATAAGGATCATCATCTTATATATAAAGCTGAATGTCTGTTTGTATGTCTGTATGTCTGTATGTATGTCTGTCTGTCTGTCTGTACGTATGTTCCGAATAGAAAATTCCATTTCTGAACCGATCGGGACCAAACTTGGCACACATACACTTCGGGCCCCGGCGGGTGTCATAGGCTACTTTTCGTCATCGATTGATATCGATTTTATCGATTTTTTTGCAAAATTTGAGCCACAGGGCTGGGAGTTGGCACAGGGGGGTAATCGAGCATGCTGATTACGAATATAATAATGACAGGGCCGGGCGGAGCCGGGTAAGTCAACTAGTAACTTATAATAACGCGCTAAGGGTTGTTTACGTTTGTCTGTGCGTGTGTGAATCTCTGTCTGTCACGAAATTCGTAGAGCGAGTTCCAGCAAAGGTCTTAAGCTAGAATTTTGGTAGTAGCACCCTATCAGCAGCCCGAAAAGTGAGCAAAAAGTTTACTTTTGCGCAAGATCGGCGCCAAAAAGGAATAATTGCGTAGATGATCGATTTGTCAAGGTTTTATTACCTGGGAATGCGGGACAATTTTTGCTCAGAGATGTAACTCATGGTTGCCATCATCTTTATGGCGAGTATCAAGTCATTATAACCCCAGTAACTGATTCAAAATCGCATTTAATCTTTTAGAGAATACTTTCTTTCCCTTAAAGTCACCGATCTTACATGAAAAAGCTTTTGGAATGAGTAGCTGTTTACATTTCATTCGTGATGATCGGCATCGCGAGGTAAGTTTCAAAGCCATCATTTTGCGACTACGAGGTTGTATGTGGATAGTACAGCCAGTGCGAGCCTCTGCGAAGCAGAGGTGACGCACTGGTAGTAAATGACCGCGGAGCCTTACACGGCTTATCCCTCTTTTATCCTCTTTCTTTCTTGAATGTTTCGCATCAGTTTGCACACTGCCTCGCACGTTTTCAGATTTGCCTTCTGGCGGATCTATGTGCCAGCACACAATACAAACCAAATTTCGGATTTTGCCGCCTCTGATCTCTACTGCAGAAAAGTGTGGTGTAGGTGTTCGTCAGAAATTCAATATAAACAAGGATTACTCCCATTTTTTTGGACTGTTAGTTGAAGCTTGCGTTTACATGTACTCAGACAATCGAAGAGATACCGGAGAGCAAATGCCGGGGGTCTGCCACTTCATTGTTCCGGAGCCCATGATCACGGTGACGTCACAAGGAAGCGAAATGGGAAAAATGGGACCCCTCCCCGGTGCTCGCAAATCCCTGCTCCGGGGGTGCGCCAGATTTGGAGGAGCCCCGAGCAGCAAGACGCGTGAAATGGGAGGGCTCTGGAGCAATGAAGTGGCAGACTCCCGGCATTTGCCCTCCGGAGGTATCCATTCGACTGTCTGAGTATGGCGTACCAAACTACCACAATAGGTTTTCAACTTTGATTAGCATTATTATTCGTAGCCCCTATATATCCTAAGTAGTTTCGTTGTACCATTTGATAGAGCAAACCATGCTCTGGAAGAAGATGACTGAACATGAACATTTGTTTGACCGGCATGAAGCTTAAGCCAAAATCTGAGAAGTTCCGAATGCCCGAGAATGTGAATAGAAATTGCATTTCCGTTCAGGAGAATCTGTGATCCAAATTAGACACTCATACACTTGCTGTATTCTTTGAAGGCTAGACATCGATAAAAAAATGTTACACTAAATTCAAACTTGTCTGTAGCGGTTGTTTCCACACGAATATGTGATTACAGAGCTAATTCTTTCAGAAGTACAGCCATAAATCTGTACCCTAGTAGGTTCCAAGGTCTAAATGTGAAAATAAGATAAGCTAGTGTTTCTAACTACACTCCATTCTTCAACATTCCCAAGAATCAAATGAATAATTTGAACGTCCACGAGTGAATTCAAGTCACGTTGACATTGTTGTTTCCATGGGACATCCCCATGGTTCTTTCTTGAGAGAGTGCTGTACAACGGGCAGCGATGATTGAGCGCCATAAAATTGAAGTTTAAAAATTTCAGAGTGCGACCGCAGCTCTCCCTTTTTCTCATTGAAGATAGAAGAGGTGTTTCAGTTCAACTTGTCTTATCAATTACAATATATATGCTTGTGTTGGGGAGGGGGGGGGGGGGGTAAAGGGGATGGTAGTAAGTTTTGCGGTACTTACTAGCAAAGCTTCTGATGTACTGCTACTTTCCACGCAATCTTTTGAAACCGTAGCTTCGCGATCATGCAACAGGCGCCCAAATTCTTATGTTTTCTTAAATTTCTGTTCTGCTTTTCGGGAAAAAAGGAATAGCACTTATTGTACACAGTATGCCATATTAAGCAACTTTGATTTTCTAGATAAACTTCTATAGTTACCAAGAACCATTCACTCTAGGACAACCTGCGCTTTTTGTGAAAAATCATACCGCGCACGAGCTACCGAAAATCTAATCCAACTTTTGAAAGTGATTAGGGCATAGAGTGCTTTGCATAATGATCACTCCATTTTCAGCAAGCTTCACAACTGATATGCAAAACTTTTTTTATGCTTATGGTTTTTTTATTCAAATAAAGGGGAAGGATTGTGTAGAGCCGAGGAGAACGAAAGCATCTGTAAGTAGTATGTACATGTAGCTCAAAATTTGGTTTATATATCAGCAGTTTTATTTACGCAATGTTCAGATGAAATCTTTTGAAATATACGGTGAAATTTGGGCATTAAAGTGATGAACATCTTACCTATAACATACTTTTTTACAAATATGAACCTGACTCTTCAATCATTCTAGCATTTGCTTCATTGGCTATGAAATATTGACTCGTTTGGAGGAAGCGAAAATTTTTCAAGACGTTCTAGTAGTTGGAAGCACCCGCACCATAATAGAGCAAGGGAGAAATGTGTCGTTTATTGATACCTTACGGTAAAATTAGCCTCGATCAATCATCGCAGTTTCTGAGAACTTAGCTTGAACTGGAGTGTTGAAAGTTCCAAAATTCAAGAAATTCTAGAAAATATTTCAAAATGAAAGCCATGTAGGCTATTTTCAGAATTTTGTTCGCCATGGATATATGTGCATCCCCCAAAATTGTTCCCTTTTGAAACATCAACGTGCTGCCTTTCGATCATTTTAACATGTCATGTTCGACTGAGCGCCTTAGGCCTCGGACAGAGTTCACGCGATTAGTCGCGATTTAATCGCCGCGATTTCCATTCATTTTCATTTTACATTCAAAAATTTCGGGCTGGAAAAGTATCACAACCGAAATGCAAGCTGGTCGGCATGCAATGAACTCGTAATAGTTATCTTGTCGCGATTGAATCGCGACGATCAAATCGCGTGAACTCTGCCCGAGGCCTTAGATTTGCTGGTGTTAAGTGTTGAAACGATCGAAAGGCAGCCACGTTGATGATTCATATGGGAACAATTTTAGGTGATGCACCACATATACTGTGCTAGCAAAATTCTCAAAGTGTTTTGTTGCAGACGCATCTAGTATCTGTCAGCAGGACATTTTGAAGTATCGTTTTTTCGAATTTTATGCAAAATACTGCTAAGCTCACTACATTTTTCTCTTGGCGAAAGTCATGAAGCCAGAATTTGGCCTCCATTTGTTACAGAAATATTCTACGAATTCCTTAGCAAATTCCTCTCACCCTAATCACTACTATGAAAAATTGCAAAAGATATTCAGACAAGCAATATGTTTATGGCCGATGAACCTAGATCATGCAATATATTCCATTTTTACATCGGTATTCAATTGCCAATAAGACGACTAGTTTATAAGAAGTAAAAAAGCCTTGGGCAAGAATAATGCAACGCTAAGTGGAATCCGGTAATTTGGATGTGTTACCCAGGACAGAAAGGATTTTCGATTGACGCTTTGTACATCCTCAGCCACGGATTTCGCCCGCGGTTTTGATAAGTCCGATCAAATCTTGGCTTGCTGACACTTGCAAAGCTCTTTAAAATATGGCATGGAATACTGTTCGTAATCACAAATCATGACTGTCATCGGCACCTTCTCACACATTTCTTTGTTTGCTATATGCTGACAGAAGTGAGGAAAGTTGGAGTGGACACACTTCAATCCTTATAGAAATTGGACGCATAAATCTGGAGATCTATGGAAAAAGAAGTTCCCAAGCATTCAGGTAAGACTTACTCCCCTCATCTGCATTTTCTGTTCAAATATTATGTCTATAGCCGTCTTGCAACATCACAAAAAACTTTTTCTAGTCTAACGTCTGGCTTCTGTTGGTCCCGGAGAGAGCGCCTGAGGAGGCGCCAATGTTTGAATCTTGAAGCGGCGTGATAGGAAAAACTCTCATAACATCGATTCGTTTCAAAAGAACGGGGCATCGATAGAGGCAAGCTGCTGTTTCTTTTTTGCAACACTGAATCTGTTCATTCTACGTCTTCATTTCAGGTCAACTATACTTCTTCACTGCAGAAATTAGCGATGGAGTGTGTGGTACACAGGGAGGATGCTCGTGCTCTCGGAGAAGTTTGCTTTTTGGCAAATTGGTGGGTAATATCTCCTGCGTGACGAAGGCGGTTGCCCAAATAGGTTGAAGCGTGTCGCGCACGCGGCGCGCGGGCAATCGTCAGCCTTGGAGCGCGCGCAGGCTCGGTCAACGGTCATCCACGGAGTGCGCGTCGCACGACAGCCAGCCGGCCACGTTATTGTTGCTACCTTTTGCTGTTATTGTGGACTGCGATGACTCTATTCGTCCAGTGAGGTGAGTTTTCACTTCAATTTTTCTTATTATGTGACGTTTTGATACTAGATTTGTGTGCTGACTATTTTTCATGGCTTTGTGTGCTGCATGCTTGTGCTATGTGTCTGCATTCCGCTGTTTGTGTGCTCTCTTTGTTCTTCATTGCTCTCCTTGCTTTTCGTTTCTTTTTTCAATCTCCTTTGTAAACTTTCTGTTTGTTGTGAATGTTTTTTCTGCATTGCTGTGTGAATGCTCGTGAGCAGAGGCAGATTTGTTTTTCCACAGCCCTGTCTCTTGACCCCTGCATGCTTTCTGTCTTCACCAGTGCTTGTAAGAGCTGTGCATCTTCGTTTTTGCTTCTTTGTGAGAAGGCAAAACCCTAGATAGCGTGGCTATCAAGCATTTTTGTTTTGAATGCATGCTGCAAAAGAAGACAGTGTATTTTCAGTGCAGTATATGATGTTTTCTGAAGGTAAGTCTTCTTCATAGCCTTTTACTGATTTTTCTTCTTGCTTTCATTGATCCATTGCTTTCCGTATGATACTTACGCATGTCACTGACCTGCACAGCAGCATGAAACATGCTTATGCTAGTGCAGCATCTCGTGTAGGTATTCCTCATTTCCTTTCATTTTCTTCTGCGCATTGTTTCTTGTGCCTGCATGAACCATTAGCAAAAAAGACATTCTTCTTCGCACCTTTCTTCGCAGTTCTTCACGAACCGCTCATACCAGCCATGCATCTTTGGTTTTGCTTCTTTGTGAGAAAGTAAACCCACAAGATCTTGTGGCTAAGAAGCGGTCTACTTAAAGCAAAAAGACACGTTTAATTTCAGATGTGATAGCGAATGTCAAATACACGTAAGTTTAACAAACCCAGTCCAATTATTTTTTTGTTTCCTTCTTTGGCGATCATTCTGGTACAATTACAAACTGACACAGAGTCCGGCTATCGTGAATGGTTTTTTCACTGATACCATCCTTGATCCTTCAGAACTTAGATGTCAACTGTTTGTAATCGTTGTTTTCAATCTCTCCCACAATCCTTATGCGTTCACCGTTCAAGTTGGTCAGGCCTTTCTGGTTTCCCTCCTTTTATGAACGTGAAACTTTGAATGGCATGGCTAGCAAAGCGGGCTGTTGAACTTGATCTTCAATCAATGAGTAACATATGGCGATTTTTGGTTGCAAAGAGTAAGATAAGTAAGCTGATAAGTGGGCTTACTCCCTAACGTCGAAATTAAACGTGTCTTTTTGCTTTAAGTAGACCGCTTCTTAGCCACAAGATCTTGTGGGTTTACTTTCTCACAAAGAAGCAAAACCAAAGATGCATGTCTGGTATGAGCGGTTCGTGAAGAACTGCGAAGAAAGGTGCGAAGAAGAATGTCTTTTTTGCTAATGGTTCATGCAGGCACAAGAAACAATGCGCAGAAGAAAATGAAAGGAAATGAGGAATACCTACACGAGATGCTGCACTAGCATAAGCATGTTTCATGCCGCTGTGCAGGTCAGTGACATGCGTAAGTATCATACGGAAAGCAATGGATCAATGAAAGCAAGAAGAAAAATCAGTAAAAGGCTATGAAGAAGACTTACCTTCAGAAAACATCATATACTGCACTGAAAATACACTGTCTTCTTTTGCAGCATGCATTCAAAACAAAAATGCTTGATAGCCACGCTATCTAGGGTTTTGCCTTCTCACAAAGAAGCAAAAACGAAGATGCACAGCTCTTACAAGCACTGGTGAAGACAGAAAGCATGCAGGGGTCAAGAGACAGGGCTGTGGAAAAACAAATCTGCCTCTGCTCACGAGCATTCACACAGCAATGCAGAAAAAACATTCACAACAAACAGAAAGTTTACAAAGGAGATTGAAAAAAGAAACGAAAAGCAAGGAGAGCAATGAAGAACAAGGAGAGCACACAAACAGCGGAATGCAGACACATAGCACAAGCATGCAGCACACAAAGCCATGAAAAATAGTCAGCACACAAATCTAGTATCAAAACGTCACATAATAAGAAAAATTGAAGTGAAAACTCACCTCACTGGACGAGTAGAGTCATCGCAGTCCACAATAACAGCAAAAGGTAGCAACAATAACGTGGCCGGCTGGCTGTCGTGCGACGCGCGCTCCGTGGATGACCGTTGACCGAGCCTGCGCGCGCTCCAAGGCTGACAATTGCCCGCGCGCCGCGTGCGCGACACGCTTCAACCTATTTGGGCAACCGCCTTCGTCACGCAGGAGATATTATTTTCCATTAGATTTCCGCCCAACTTGATCTCAATAAAGTTTACCAGGTGGTTCCCCTTTCTGTTGGGCGTTCTTGCCGGAGTAGCGTGTTGCTTGCTTCCTCTGCTCCCGGCTGTCCTCATGCTTTGTGGACACATCAATCGCACTCTGTCGCAACTGATGGCAGTGCGTGAGAAGAGATCGCAGCCGAATTCGAACCGTGGAGTGAATTGTTAAATTCGTTAACCGTCTATGTTGTCTACTTTGTTAATAAATGTAACAATGGTAATTTCGATTCCATAAGTTCCCTTCTCTGATCAGCATAGAAACTGCGGCAGTAATGCAGGAGTTGATAGTCTTGTGAAGAATGGGTAGTCACAAAATCTTTTATTATCAAAATCACAGGACACGAAGCCGTGGACAAAGGACGCCATTTCCCGAACAGCAATGAGAAGTATGGATGTGTGTGTGGATGGGCGTAATCCCTTCAAGGTGTCAGTTCACATTCGCAGCTGGGTTGTTGCACTGTGGTGCGAACGGCTAATAGTCTATTCCTAGACGAACGCAAATGCCTCTATGAAAGCGTGTATCAGCACGATTCTTCGCATTTTTGAGTTCCAAGTACGCTATTTGCAGGTGTGTAAGCCGCACTTTTCAAATTTTCAAACGAGCCGCTCAGCCACTTCACTATGTTTCGGAAAGCGATTCTAATACCGCACGATTCACTGTAGCAATACGTAGCACTATATAGGGTCCTCTGGTTACGAAGTCTTCTGGCCTGTTTGGGCTGGTCGATAGAAACAAATCCTCATACACCTGCTCAGACAGTCGGTGCCGTAGCTCCGGAGGACAGTCGAAATCTGGCAGAGCTGCGGAGGACCCAATTGACCATTGAGAGCGGGGCGAGGGGGGCGGTCCCTTCTTGTAGGTCACGGTGACGTCACAAGCAGGCGAATGGGGCCCCTCTCCGGGATGCGCAAATCTCTGCTCCGGAGGTGCGCCAGATTTGGAGGAGCCCCAGAGCAGAGATTTGCGCTCCGGAGGTATTGGGACACCTCCGGAGCACAAAATGGGAGGGCTCCGGAGCACAAATGGGAGCGCTCCGGAGTCCAAAATGGGAGGGCTCCGGAGCACGAGAGGCAAACCCCCGCGGAAACCCCGCGGCTCTGTCATTTCTGCTCCGGAGGTATGCCGTCGACTGTCTGAGTGAAAACAGGGTAACAAGTGTTACCTCTAATCAAACCCCTATGACCAAGGCAAGACTTTATCTAGGTCATCAACCACGTATCCTTCATTAGGAGAGCATGTGCTTCTCAGGACGCCGTAAGTTCAGCTAACCTTCTGACCGCTTCGGCGGCCAAAGAGAGTGTTACTTGCATAACACAAAGACTCAGTCTTGATTTTAGTGAAGCTTTGTCCGTTTGACGCCTGTCTCAATCAGTCCAACTAATTTTCTTGAAAGCGCATCTGTAGTTGGGTGGGCGTACGTTAGAAACAGCCTTGTAAGGCCTATGGGCCGTGGGCATACCTCGCGATTTCTCGCCACGCGATTTGGCAGTTTGCCAGATGTCTTCAAGTTCAATACTGGCAGACCTTAAAGGCAGCGTCCAGGCAAGTCTGGACACATGGGGATCTCACGTGGATAGTAATTTTGGGGCCCTAACTAACCCACTGCCCAAGCGGCAGCTCGGGTAGTGCTCTAATGGCTGAGATATTCCCCTCAACTGGATTCCGCGATCGTATTTCGCATGGATTCATGGCGCAAAGCGTGGATCCTGGCGCAAAACTGCCATGAATCCATGCGAATACGATCGCGGGGTCCAGTTTCGAAGGGAAAATCTCAGCTGTTAGAGCACTACCTGCGCTGCCGCTGGGGCAGTGCCTTAGGTAGGGCCCCAAAAGTACTTTCCACGTAAAATCCCCATAGGTCCAGATCTGCTTGGACGCTGCTTTTAAATGCGCAGCGTATAAAACTTTCGTAGGTTGATAGAATGCCCTGCGTTCCATACAGTTAGAAACCCTTTACGATGAATATGAAAACTGGAGTATTGCCAAGTCGCTACTGAGATCGCGGGAGGTATGCCTAGGAGGTTGCCGGATTTGCCGAGGTTGCCAAGGATGCCGGCGTTGTCGAGGTTGCCGGTCGTTCTGGGACCCCAGAATACTCTTTCTATTGTGCGTTCTCTAAGGGAGCTTCAGACCGCGCCGGGACCGCGCCGATTGTCGCTTTTGCAGCCAGTAGCTACTTTCGCGCCGGTTGCCGCTAATGCAGCTGACGCACCGTGTCGAATTTTGTCCTTGGATTGTCGCGAGAGCCTATTGGCATTGAATACTAAGCTTTTCAATTCTTTTGCCACCACTCTTTTGTTTCCAAGGTCCTCTTCTTTCTGTGAGTATTCATTGCAGGTTCTACGATGCTGGAGTAATCGACTTATTGTCGAATATTCAATCTACCTCCCGTGTAGAGCTGTTTCTTTAGGCAAAAAGGTGATGGACGGCGTTTTGTCTTTCATTCATTTCCAGGCTATTCTTTTACGGTAGTTGATCGATTTCGTAGAAAACAAAGTCTCTTTAAATTTGACTTCAGTTTTGAAGCTATGCTACTTCCATCAAGGAGTCATCGGGTTGCGGACTTTCCTTGAATGTAAGTGTGAGCTTGTTGGAACTTCATGCAGCATGGTTTCTCGTACTCTCTCGTTAACTTTATCATGAAAATCAGGGAAAGCCCGCAACCCGCCTCCGCACAAGAGCTCGGAGCTGGGAGCTCGTAAATCTTTGCGGAACGCTGTTTTTTGCACACCTTTCGTTTTGATGATATCGCTCTGCTGTGTGGTTGCGCAGGCAAGGTTTTTCGATGTCTTTTCCGATTTGAGGTTGGTCTACTATGCTGAGTGGACGATATTGTCGCAAAACGCTGTTTTTTGCACTTTCTAATTTTGAAGCTACTTTACTATGTTTGAAGGTACACTTACTGATGTAAGTTACGGTAGTGTAGTTACGATCCTACAGCATGATGAATAACTTCAAAAACAAAGAAAGTACATTCGCAACTGGCTCATCCAGCATAGTAAACCAGTTCCAAAACGAGAATGTCGTCGAAAAGGCTTTGCCTTGCAATAGCTCTACAGCAGGATTTAGAGTGAAAGGGTTTCACTCAACAATGAATCGATTTTTCCAGCAGTAAACAACCGAAAAAACGAAATCCAGATCAAAGGAACCATATCTGCAATCATTTACTACAGCAAAGAAGAGGACTTTGGAAACAAAAGAGTGATGACAAAGGAATCGAAAAGCCTATCATCTAGTGCCAATAGGCTCTCGCTAGCTCCAAGGACAAAATCTGACACAGTGCGCTTCCTGCAGTAGCGGCAACCGGCGCGAAAGCAGCTACCGGCTGCAAAAGCGACAACCGGCGCGGTCCCGGCCGGTCTGGAGGCTACCTAAGCGGCAACACCAGCAATCTCGGCAACCACCTCGGCAATCTCGTCAACCCAGGCAACAATAGCAGCAACCAGTGGCGTACTCAGGATTTCGGCTCGGTGGGGGGGGACAAATTTTTTCCGATGAGGGTGCGTGGCGTCAGCCACGCACCCCGAAAATTTTTTTGGTATGCTCCCTAGAATTTTCGCGGGCTCAGAACCCCGAAATTTCAGGAGAAGGGGGCGTGGCGTCAGCCACGCCCCTGAAAAAAAATTTTTATAAGGCTGAAATGAATTTTTAAAAAATTTAAAAAAATGTATTTATTTACAAGTACAAACAAGTCACTTGCGTATTTTTATAACTCACTAATTGACTTACCCGGCTCCGCCCGGCCCTGTCATTATTATATTCGTAATCAGCATGCTCGATTACCCCCCTGTGCCAACTCCCAGCCCCGTAGCTCAAATTTTGCAAAAAATCGATAAAATCGATATCGATCGATACGAAAAGTAGCCTATGACACCCGCCGGGGCCCGAAGTGTATGTGTGCCAAGTTTGGTCCGGATCGGTTCAAAAATGGAATTTCCTGTTCGGAACATACGTACACACAGACATACAAACAGACATTCAGCCTTATAGATAAGATGTAAGTAACTTTCAAAAAATTCGCGACCCGTTCTCGGAGAGGGGCGCGTCCTCCCCCCCCCCCCCCTCGGTACGCCACTCGTTACCAAGCGAAATAATAAGGTAATGATATTCATGATTAGTCTGCTGTATAACACCTAGGCATAGTTTTGGAGAATTTCACCATGCCATGTGCTTGTTGCAGTTGCTGTGCTATAGTCTGAGTCTGAGACTAACTACATTCTTTTGCCAGCCACGTAAAGCCTACAGTCTGTCCCAACCCCGATCAAGAAAAATTGGCATGTCGGGGGTCTGTATCGCAATGGTTTCGACGTCCGTGTCTATCGTCTATCTTGTCCGCTCCCTTTTCAGTCTCTTCGCCTTCTCTGATGGCGCGCATATGCAGCACAAACCCTACCATTTACTTACTTAGATACTTGGAGAGCCCATATTCATGTGGCGTGCGGGCCTCAGCACAAAAGTTTCCATCGATCCCTGTCCCTCGCTTTAGACGTCCACGATCTTCTTTGCTGACGTCGGTGGCTGCATCCACGAGTTTCAGGTGCAAAAATTCGTATCCAGCTGATTTCTCAGCTGGTCCACCCGTTCCACGGACACGTCTGCCCATCTCGTCGGTGGTCTTCCTCGAGGGAAAATTCACTAGCAATTTCTACTAGCAATATTCTAAAATCAAATATGTACCATTCCCTTTTCTTTGGCTTCGCGAGGAATTCACTCAGATGTTCTTAGTGTCCATCTGTCGTGTTCTTCTCATGATGTGACCGGTCCATCAACGTTTAGCTTTCGCTATGTATTCCGCTGGGTCACGAAAACGGGACATTCTCTCATGTCAGTACTGCGGAGTCCGACAAAATATTGCTTGTGTCGGGTCATCCTTGGAAAACTTCGCATTTGACGCTTTGTGGGGGCTCGTGGAGCTTTCAGTGTCGGCAATTCTCAGCTGTAGAGGCAGCGTCCGGGCAAAAGCTCGATTTCTATTTGCTTGCCTGGGGTTATCCGCAACGCTGAATCCAAAACTCCACACTAGAAAGCGCGAAGGCGGTGAACATACGCTCTACAAAACCTTACAACTTGGAATAGGATAATTTCCGCCAAAGCTGAGACGCACGGTCCCTGCTTGAGCCTACGACAGCAACTGTAACGGCATGCGTACTCCACCGCAGTGCAGGAATGCCAGCCAGGGAGAGCCGCGCGCCAGGGCGTTAGTTTCTCAGTTCTAGCCATATTTTTTGCTTGCGATCAAACTTTATGGCCTCGCAATTGCGTTGACGTTTCCGATGGGGACCACTTTCGCATAACACTGAAATTTCAAATCCCCACCTCGTCGGGACACTGCCTTCAACGGATCGCCGGGAGAATGGTTGAATCGAGCAGGTGGACTCAAAACGTTGGGTCCTTCGGTTACTCAGTGACTTCCTTCAAAAGCCCGAAGGCGACCCAGGCTGCTCTTCTTCTCCTGTCAGAGGCAGTGTCTCACCAAAAGTTGGTTGCCTTGATTTTTGCATTTTACAAGCCTATCGCACCCGGTCTGACAATGTAAGGACGCACCAAGTTCCCAAAAATTCGTTACTCAAACGCCCCGAGAAGACAACGCAGACGAGTTGTGGCTTTTTACCCTAGCCTCTGCCATAATGCCTGCAACGCTATGGAAGTCGAAGTCAAGTGGAAGGACTTGTTAAAATGCGTGAGGGAGGAAATTGAAGAAGTCATCAGTTACCAACCAAGTTGCTCTCCCCATGAGATTTTTCTCAGTTTAGAGAGGCCAAATCAAGTGGGACTTTTGGTGGCCTATCTAAGAATGTAAGTAGTAGAATGTGTAGAAATCCGCACTACTCCAACTTTGGTCACTGTCTTTGTATTCTTTTCTGTATGTTCATCGAACGTCCAAGATACTTGTAGGAAGACGTCACCATGATAAGATGCCTTCCAATTCCATTTGTGCACCTTCCCAAACAGGCGTTTGGCGTTTCTCACAAACTGAGTTTTCTCCCAATTAATTTGCAGTCCAATCTTCTTTCCTACTTCGTTGAGTTTTTTCATTATCGTCTCCGTTACAATAGTACTTCACATCTTACTCCTTAATTCATCAAATTTTAAAGTCAATCCAATATGTGACTTTCTGAGAGTAATCTTACTAATCACAAAATCCTCTCGTATCAGCTGAAGTTCACTTTTCATTTTTTTTTCAATCAGCTAGCACCAAAACTGAAGAGCCAGATAAACCACTAACTGTCCTTTTTGCTTACAACGCTGTCATTTTCTTTGTAATCACTTCAAACTTCTCAGTCTTCCGGCACCTGAGATGAACCACTTAACTTTAGTACTGCTAAAACTTCAACGTCATTCGGCCGAGAAGTGGAAAGATTGATATGATTGAGGACTAAATCGAGCTGCCCTGATGAGTACTATTAGGTCGATCTAAGTTTGTAGCGTTTTCATTCTCGTCCTAATTTCTCTCGAAGGCGGTGGATTTGCCGCAAGTTGCGCATATCGTTGAAAAGAGCTAATCACGGTCTTTATAATGAAGCTATTGTTTTCTATGGAAAGCTGACACACTTTGATTTTGAAGCTTGCAAATGTGGAGTTTTCAAAAGGCAAAAGGAAGCGTTTTCGACATCTGCCCATTTTTTTTAAGTGAGTGCCCTTGCAAAATATTTTTGCCGCTTACGAAAAATGGCACTTTTCCGTTAGTACGAGACAAAAGGATTAGATTGCTTTAAAGAAATCAAGAGTTTACGGGGTGTCCCCGAACAAAACTTTTTGCAGGGCGGGCAGGAGGTTCTGCACTAAAAATTGCTAGACAGAAACAAAACAGTCGACCATAGCGTACGCAACCATTTGCACCATCTCAACGAATCCCCACTGCACAAATGACTTAAAAGACAGGTCCAGTGAGCTTTTTTGCATGACAAAATATGGCTCCGTATGACAACCGTTGTCAAAACTGTCTCAGGACTTGACCGGGAAACGTATTCTGATGTACTCCACAGACCTCGCCCTACCAGCTGATAATCATTTGTAGCGTTTTTTTTGCGAACCATATGAACTATGCTTGTTCCGATTCTAAAGACAATCCTAAGCGCTGCTTAGACTACTTTTTGGGACCCGACCTATTGAGTTTTGGAAAAACGAAATTGAAAATTTCATCGTCGATTCGTTGACCGCTCAGACTGCTCAGGCTCCCGCCAGAGTGCCGAAGTTATGCCAGCGCTACGCCAGCATTTCGATCGATACACGTGTATTTCGTTGGGGCGGGGCTAGCTGACGTCCCCAACGAAATACACGTGTATCGATCGAAATGCTGGCGTAGCGCTGGCATAACTTCGGCACTCTGGCGGGAGCCTCAAACGCTGCGGACCAGCTGAAACGTTGCGAGAGCACGACTTGTACAACAGAGAATTTGTATTGGGGCAGGCGTTTTACCTCGCGGCGCGTGCTACGCAGTGATGTCCAGTCCGTCAGTCGAATCGACTATGTATACGGCAAGATGGCAGAGGGCGTGCGCAACAACGGAAAAAACACCATCGACTGAATTTTGACAAAATTTTGTCATTTCGATGGTTTCTGAAAACGTTACGAACTTATGGAACGACCTAATATTTTTAACATTTCCTCCCAAGCAGATAATGACAGATTATGTCAACAAAACTTTTCGAAATTGGAGTTCGAAATTCTCTAATTGGAGGAAATGCAACCGTTTATATCTAGCTGGAACACTATATATGCGTTGGTAAGTGGAAGTCCTCAAGATCTTCTGTAAAGGAACGGATTCTTGTAAAAATTGCAAGATTTTAGTTCGCTATCCCGTGATAAAAATTCCTGCGACTCTAAAGGTGCAGGGCTCGCTCTGCTTTTTCAAATAGTGATGAGTACGAGGTTATTAGGAAAGACAATAGTAAACTGGTGCAAAATCTATGTATGTATGTTATGCAAAGTCTCATTTTTACGAATCATGACGTTCTCAAGTCTCTGTATCACGAATGCGATAAGAAGCATCAAAAGCACTGAAGTTTCAGCTATGCAGCGCACACTGTTTTGTACACTGATATCGCAAACGAGAAGAAGACCTTGAACTGGAGAACAGGAGAATCCTTACTAAAATATCTTTTTGACAGACCCAAGTCCGCCTGAATTTTGTGAAGTTTTGTCGAACGTTCGAGATAGGATTTCTTATTGATTAATGTTTGAATTTTTGCTAAAAACGCTCATGACTTCTCTTCAATCTTTCTCGATGATAGGGGAGATATGGTGCGCGTGATCGCGAGAGTCGGTGATTTTGCGGCCGTTACGAGCGCATTGAAGATTCCCAGTCATCTTCCTTCTTTCAAACGCTTTTTTGCTATCAAATATTACTTACCACTTACCTGAAACAACTTTGAAAAGTACAGGATTGTTTGACTCATTTGAGGCCTTGTGCATCCTGCGAGTGCAATCGCCGCAAGCTCCCGACCTTCGCGATCACGTATAGCCCTATATTTGGAAGCAGCATTTTCTGTTAAAACAATATACCTCAAAATCCCATCAAAATCCCCACTTCGACTAAGTATTCTATTCGGTGGTCATCGTGGAACAACGCGGATGATTCAGATGTAGCCAAAGTCATCCACCGCTGGCAATCAAGAGGTAAAGTCATCACTTTATAATAAGCACGCTTCTTTCACTCAAGAAATTAGAAGATTTGGCCAGCTGAGCCTCAAACCTAACTCAATCTGTATGAAAATAAGCATTCCTAGAGGAAAAATGAATCTACCATCGACGCACATTTTCCAAAAATTCCCATGTTGTTTTCGTATAAATAAAAACCTTTATTTTACTAATAAAATTGAGACAATCACCGATTTACACTACTGATTACACGTTACTATCTTAAATACTCTACCCGCTAAGATAACAAAAGTGCCAGGACACACTCTAAGCGGTGTATAAATGGGATTGCATCAGGTGGGAAAGATAATCATCTGCATGCGGGAAAATTATAAACTCTCTTAGGCAGCATCTACAGTTTTGGATTGCGGAAGTTCGTTCCGGCATATACAGCATCTTTGCCGAGTTCCTCCTCGATACGAAGTAGTTGATTGTATTTGGCAAGACGCTCGGAACGGCATGGAGCTCCAGTCTTGATCTGACCGGTGGCAAGACCAACGACAAGATCAGCAATGAAGGTGTCTTCTGTTTCTCCGGAACGGTGAGACACCATCACACCCCAACCGTTCGAGCGCGACAGCTTCGCTGCCTCGATGGACTCTGTCACTGATCCGATTTGATTAACCTGGAATGCACTTAATTTAGATGTGTGACCAACATTGGATAGCACGAACCTTGAGCAGCAGGCAGTTGCAACTCTTCTTATCAATAGCTTGACGAATACGCTTGGGGTTGGTGACAGTCAAGTCATCTCCAACTAGTTGGATGTCGGTGCTTTGCTGCAATGACGAATTAGATACAAGCTTCCAAATGTTACTGCGTACCTTCAATTTTGCCCAGTTGTCCCAGTCATCTTGATCGAAAGCGTCTTCGATAGAAACTACTGGGTACTCCTTGATAAAATCATGATAAAGCTGAGCAAGTTGGTCTCCCGTCAGCCACTGAAATTTTCAAGCTTTGCAAAAAGAAAAAAAAAACCAGAGAACAAATGCAGAATCTGACCTTACTAGGGTCAGATTTGGGGTTCTTAAAGTCCAGGTCATATTTTCCCTCCTTGTAGAACTCTGAGGCTGCGATATCCATACCAATGGAGATCTAAAAGTGAAAATGCAACATATGCTAAAGATGTCGGTGACAAGAGTTCAAATCACCTTTCCAGTGTATCCAGCGAGATCGATAGCTGTTTTCAAGAGATCGAGTCCTTCCTTATTATCCTGAATATTTGGAGCGAAACCTCCCTCATCTCCTACAGCAGTCGCATCCAGTCCATACCTATACGGGAAACATAGAACAGTGAAAAGAAAACCTCGATTAGTAAGCACCTCTTTTTGATTTCTGCTTTGAGATGGTGGTAAGTTTCCGATCCCATTCGCATGGCTTCAGAGAAGCTTGATGCACCAACAGGCAAAATCATGAACTCCTTGAAAATCAAAGATTTTCGTTCGTTCAATGCTTGTCCCATCTTACCTGCATAGCTAGCTTGTTTCCAGCATGGGAACCTCCATTGATGACATTGAATGCAGGAACTGGCAGACAGACCTGGATAAAGTCATCACTGGTTCTACCACCTATCTAAACATCAAACCCACTTTGCTGACACCAGCTAGCTCTGCAAGATACTTGTATAGAGGCATGCCCTTATGAACAGCTCCAGCCTTTGCAACAGCCAGCGAAACGCCCAAGATAGCATTGGCCCCAAGATTCGACTTATTCTCAGTTCCATCCAACGCCAACATGAACTGGTCAATGTCACGCTGTTGCGTAACGCAGAAGTTCTAAAATAAGCCAAAATAGAATCTTGTCCACCTCAAGCACCACCCAACAATCAAAATTCACACCTTTGCAATGAGAGCTGGAGCAATCTTCTCATTGATATTTGCCACAGCCTTCAAGACACCTTTTCCATGATGCACCTTCTTGTCCTTGTCACGAAGCTCTAGCGCTTCGTGCACTCCAGTCGAGGCTCCTGATGGAACAGCTGCACGGAACACGCCTGAAATAAATCAATAGCATCAAAAATGCAATGAAAAACTGAACAGGTGATGCAAATGACGGTCTCTTTATCAACTTTCGCAGTACTCAAAATTTGCTTTGCACAACCCTTCACTACAGCAGAATTCGAATTATTGTTTTCAACAGCGAGAGGATTATTGAGTGCAGTGAACAGTTGGAGCATCTAGTTTCCAGCCGAATTATCCGATTACAGGGCGCTGTGCTGTAACTACAGCAAGACAGAGAAAACCGTCGATGACTCATCGATAAGAAGCAAATAATCCTTCAAACTCTATCTAACACCAACATTACTTACCCTTGTCAGTGTATAGATCGACTTCAACCGTCGGGTTACCGCGGGAGTCGTAAATCTGACGAGCGTGAATCTTCGTGATCGGCATGCCTAAAAATTAATGTGAGAAGAATTTTAAGCCAGATTTTTGAGCCAAACGCGGAAGCAAATATAATAAGCGACTGGGCAACTACACGGTTGCACAACGATATAATAGATACACATTCGATTTGTTCACAGAAGAGGTGTGTCAACACAGTGCGGAGTATGTTTCGCTGATTTTCGCAATCGAAGGCTGTCCGTTATCGAATGGTTGATTCATTGTATGATGCAAATTCAATGCGACAAGAGAAAAGGTGTGAAAAGAGAAAGGGGATCAAATGCGGCGCTCTTGGCAAACACGAGATACTGTAAACAAGGCTCTTCTACACCGTTCGCTCGACGCAATACTCTCATTTTTTCATACCTTGAAAAAATGACCTTTTACGAAAGTGCAAAACCGTCTGCAAAAGGATGCATATGTAACGCACATGAAAATCGCTGCAAAAGACCACGCTTTCAAATCTCAAAAATGGAGAAGGAAAGACTTGGATCGAACGATTTCCAACCAAATGCAGTTTGAGATGACTCTACATGAAAAATGTGCAAAGCTTGTCAAAAGCATCGCTTCTTCGTCAAACTGTTCGCAATTCTAGGTCAAGCATTTTCCAAACAATACTCATGTAGCACAAACCTGCCACATTGCGGAATTTCAAGAAACAACGGAGAAGATTTCTCATGACGCTGACGATGCATTAAATTTTGCTACACAGTAGCAAGGGTGGTGATAGGGAGTCAAAGTAAGAAAGCGTTCATGACAGCTTGAACACGCAGAACAGTTTCTTGCTTCAGCTCTTTGGTTTACAAGGATACGCCAATGCAAACAGAAGGTAAGTTTTTTAGGACTTAGCAGGAGTTATTCAGGAGCACATATTTTATGGACAATCTAACGACTGACTGAAACATGAATCCAATGCTGTCTGAGTAGCAATCAGCTACTTGAACATCAGCAACGCACTAAAGGGCCGGGCATACTTCACGCGATTTCAGTCGCGACGCGATTTGGCATTCGCCCAAAGCCTTCAGATTCAACACTAGCAAACTGCAGCATAGTATGTATAACCTACGTCGATTGCTAAATGCCTTATTTTCTGTGCATTTAAAATGTCCTTACAGTGAGTCACGGACAGTTGAAATATTGCCAAATCGCGTCCCGACTGAAATCGCGTAAAGTATGCCCGGCCCTTTAGGCCCTGGCCAGACTTCGCTCAAAAGCGCCCAAAAGCGCTCAAAAGCGCCCAAATTTCTCTGGTGTCTCTTCACTTTCTCGTGTGAGGAGATATGAGAGAGAGTGAGGAGAGGTTAGAGAAGTTTGGGCGCTTTTGAGCGCTTTTGGGCGCTTTTGAGCGAAGTCTGGCCAGGGCTTTAGGCAGCCCACGCTTGATTCAGTTAATTGATCCAGTTCATCTGTATGGTGTGTGCCCTGGGAATCCACAGAGACGAGTCGAAACGTACTTCGCACAACCGTTCGAATGAGACTGCCGAATGCGATACTTTGAATTGAAATGAAACACACTTGCGGGCAGCCGTCGAGAATAGTTGGAAGTGGGATAGCTTCGATGGCTCTATCAAAAAGCAAAGGAGGAACCGCTGGCCCATCGGCAAGTTGTAATGTACGACCGGCAGTCGCTGTACGTGCAATGCACAAATGTGCACGACGAGGCTGAGTCCGCTTCGCATCGACTGCGCCGAATTTAAGGTCTTGTGTTCAGTGCAGAGAACAGTCCGGAACAGGCAAATCTATCGATCAAGAGGAAGTGGCGAACGAATAGCAACAGAACGCATCATAAAAAAGTGCAGAAATGTTTTGCCGGGAGAGTGCTGCAACATAAGAGCATTAAAATCGTGTCCCATACCTACATAAGATTAGCCTTTATGGACTAAAACTAAAACGCGAAGCACAGAAGGCAGGCGCAAGAGTCATTCCAAAGTTCAGATGTCTGTTCATCGCATCTTTACAAACACCTATTCTGAAACTAGGGCACTCGAACGCTACGCACGTCGTCTAGCAAGCTTGAACTTGTTCTCTTCCGGCCGAGAGAAAATCATCCAAGGTGAGAGTAAGCGGAGATTCATGTCGTTAAACGGAACGTCCACGAAATCTGGACATATGGGGATCTCTCGTGGATAGTAATTCTAGGCCCTAACTAAGTCACTGCCCAATCGGCAGCTCAGGTAGTGCTCTAACGGCTGAGATATTCCCCTCGAAACTGGACCCCATTGTATTTCGCATATTCACGGCGCAACCCATTGTTTCGCGTGGGCCCTCGCGCGAAACTGACAGGTCGCGCCATAAATCCATGCGAAATGATCCTGGGGTCCACTTTGGAGGGGGTAGAGGACTATATGTCGCCGAAAAAGGGCGGTCCCCGCGGTCATTTGCAACAAATACGCACCCTTGTAAATGCGCGGACATGCGTTCCTGCAGGAAATCCGCGCGGGACTCTTCCACATTCGGCGACATGTAGTCCTCCACCCCTTTGCACGTAAAGTCCCCAAAGGTCCAGATTTGCCTGGACGCTACCTTTAAAAGCAGTGTTGGCAAATGTGAGAGCCTCTCAGCTCTAACAGATTACTAAGCAAACCTATGCAAGCCATAGCCCGATAAGTGCTGAAAAATACTGCTTCTGAAGCGAGAAAATCGCTCTAGAATTCCAAACATAAGCCGTCTCCCAGATTTATTCTCGTCGTTACCGAGGCAGGAAATCGTGCCGGTACACGCAATTACAACCTGTCATTGGCTGCAACGGCCTGTTCCAGACTTCTATGTTTCAAAGAAGGTAGAGACAGCTCTATTGCAACTTCAGAAGCTGTTTTTGGAAGGGCAAATCGACTCTGCTCGCATAGGGAGCCGCTTCAGTAATCTGCTAAAACTGAGGTGCTCCTGGATCTGCCCGAACACTGCCATTTACGCATGCGCGTTTCAGATAGCTTCGGAATGGCTGACGCAAGACGAACCGTTGGGCAGGGGTAGGGGAACGAAAGCCGCCAGTTTGAGCTGTCGTTCGCGGTAACTGGTCCTTCGCAACGTTGTTGCATGTCGTTCTAGGACCACCAGTCCGCGCAGGCGACCAAAGCTGGCGGCTTTCCTTCAGGGCCCGGCACAGATCGTTTGGAAGCAGGCTGGACTTCGTTTTTGAAGCAAATAGCAAAGTGGATATCGTTTTCGACGGGTCGGAACCGAACACCAAGAAGAAGCGCCATTTAGTCGAAAACAAGCTTTTCGGACAGGTTATCACACGATTGACATGCTCTATCGTGTGAGGCGAAAAGTGCGCGCGATTTGAAAGCAAGGCTAAAATAAGCAAATTGCTTGTTTACAGCGCACACAGAAGCATGTGACACCAAAATCGAATTGTATGTACAGAAAATTATTTGCAAAAGAATTGTGTAAAAAGGTTTGAAAACTTATGTGAAGTAATACCTTTTCCAAAATTAGATCGTCTCCAGACGGCCACCAGACGATCTGAGATCGTCTGGAGCATATATTTTCGTCACTTCACATAAGTTTCGTATCTTTTTAGCATGGAAGGATTCCCCGGTCAAAAATCTATCCCTGAGCATGATGACATTTTCATATCATTGCCTTTCCTTTTGTTTTTTTTTGCCTTCATTTCTTCTCGCTTTGTTAAATATCGCGCTCTAATGCCATCTTGCGCATGCGTAGTATTCAGCTCCAATTTGGATTTTCACTCTTATCTTACGTCTTTTTTTTCAAAATAGTAAATCTTTTTTGTTTTCATCTTCTCCTAAGCAGGTAGATCAAAGGGGACTTCGTAAAACTTCCTAAAGTCAGGGGAGACTTCGTTTTCAGAAACCGTAGAAACCGACTCGTGCCGGGCCCTGCTTTCGTTCCCCCACCCGTTGGGCAGACGTTGTAGAGCCGTTTGCAGCTCAGCCGTTGACTCGGATATTTTTCTGCGTTCCACAATAGCAAAAGCTATACAGTGGTTGGAGCTGACAGACATGCAGAGAAGATGTGGAACACCGTCGAAACACGGAGTAGAATGGTCCGACAGTCCTCAACCCGACTGAGCGGTGTCCAACAGCTGAGCGGTGTCGGCGGCGGGGTTTGCAAAAGATTTGGCCACCTGTATTTTCTTTTGAGGTTTTTTTCTGACTCAGTCATTTCTAAAACACTTTTTTGCTGAATCATCATTTTTTGGAGCGAAAGAATAGTTTTTTTTTTCAATGTCTGATGTGCGCACTCTCGCTGAGTAGCTGCGTGCCGGAGGGTGATCAGCCACTATGTACGTTCAACCGAGGGCCTTCCCGAGATTGCTGCGTTTAATCACGGAAGTCCAACCTTCCCAAGCCGTTGCTGGGGGCTTCTTTTTTTGGGGAGCATCGGGAGCTGCTAAACTTCCAACTTTCGCAGCTTTTTATCACCCACTCCCCTCCGAAATCAAAACCGGTGGCATTCCATTGAAACTGATCTAACTTGGTTCACTTTTCACCACATCACTCTGGCTACCCTCGACATCAACCCATATGTCTTCCCTCAACATGACGTGGATTACGTGGCCTGATGAGGCGCCGCCTCGCTTCGGGCTTGCGCCACGTTGCGTGCGCATCTTTGGCGTGGTGTGGCAAGAAGAACAACGTGAAAAAGCCTGCGCCACGTTGTTCTTGTTGCCACACCAAGCCGAGGGTGCGTCCGCAACGTGTCGCAAGCCCGAAGTAAAGGCGGCGCCTTATCAGTCCACGTTATCCACGTCATGTTGAATGAAGACATATGGGTTGATATCGAGGGTACTTACCCCCAAATGAGGCCAACTCACTCCTCGCTTTGGACATGGATTCAATCTACGTCACCGAACTACGTCATGATATGAAGGAAAGGTATGCTCACACAACAGATACAGATTGTGTGAACTATCTGCGTCCTTCTCCCACGTAGGCGATGCGTCTGGTTTGCCAGGTTGGCAGCATCTCAATGAAGAGTTTTGGCCAGGTTCCATTCTCCACCTTCATCTGATCGGGGTATGACCAGCTCGAAACCTTCTTCAATTTCGAGGATGCTTTAGATTTTGTTCCCATTCCAAGTGCTAGAACACCCAAGATTAGTGGAAACTTAACCTTAAGTGTCCTGGCAAGGTGGGGGTTTTGGGATTTCAGTGCCATGCGAGAGCGGCCCACCTCAGACACAACATCGAGCAAGTGCGAC